AGAGGTTAGCACTGAGTGTAAGAACTGTAGTCTACGTGGTTTTGTTTTTATCAGACTAATGCAGACATACTGAAGGACAATTAATTACACGAGGGGCTAATTAGTAAATTGGCTTGTGATTGAAAGGATCTTAATTAGCTCTTTATCAGTTGGACTTCCACTCCTGAAGAAAAATTGGCTTGATGAAATGTGCTCAACAACATCTGATTTAAGCAACGTTTGGCGCAAGGTGAATAGAATCAAATATAATAGAACAGAATAGATGTGGAGAATTGTAGAAAATTGCGTACAGTGATAACACTGTATAACGATAAAAAAAAGGGGCCAATCAAACACCCAGTTTAATCCACATACGTCAGTGAAGAGTAGAATAGAATAGAATAGAATAGAATGGAATAGAGCAGTGATGCTCTATAAACAAATGTTTCTTTCGGGTGTGCCCATCAAGTCTTTTTTGACACTAAAGAAAACACATCTACAGCATAGAATGACAGTGTTTTTAGAATGGACTTTGACTTGCTCTGATGTCATCCTTATTGCCATCTTGAAATTCAGTAGTAAACAAATTGAAAAGTTTTGTTTGTTTGGTTTTACTTGCATGTATTGGTTGTTGCCATTGTAATTGGCCTAAGACATAGTTAAGAATTTCCTGTAAATTTTAGGCTTGTGGAATGTAAATAGACTAGAGTAGTAACAAAACAGAAAAGTGTATAACCATAACTTGTGTTCCCTGTTTAAGCTTCGCTGTTTACTTGCAAAGCAGGGGAACACTCACATTCCCAGTGGACCTTTATTGCCCGGTTACCCCGACGGCAGGTAGGCTGCTGTTGCATCCCAGACAACAGCACGCAGGGCAAACCTTTCCCAGAAAATCCCTTTGGTCTTTTCTTAACTCGGTGCGGCTGTTTCTGCACTGGACACTGGGCAGTGTTGTGACACTGTTCTTGCTCTCCGGGGTGTCCGTGCGTATGTTCCTCCCGATTGCGCTTGCAAATCGGCCTCTTACTCCCCCCCACCCTCCTCACCACCCCCAATCCTCCACTCCTCCCCGCTCTCCCCCAACCCGGTGGTATCGTCCGACGGTAAAGAAGAGAGAGCGCAGTTGTCGGCTGCAGGTCTCTCGGAGAGGAACGCGCAGCGGCTGAGGAAACAAGACTAGAACCCGTCTCTATTCTGGCTCCACAGCTTAAAAACTGCGACTGTGATTCTCTCCTTATCTCTACCTGGCATTCTCATCAACTTAGGGAATACAAACATCTTACAAGGTAAAAGAAAAACCACTTTTCCCTTCTTTTCCACTGCAAAATACCTGGGAGGACTAATACAAAGCACTTTTTGGGTGTGTTGTGCACCAGTTTCCAGCTTGTATCCCGCTTCAGATTTACGAAATGGATTGCAGTTCGACTTTGACTGAGGTGTTTGATTTTTTTTTTCATATTAAAGGCAAATCAGCACAATAGCCTGCTGCAGCTTAGCTGACCTGCACAGATAAAATAAATAAGGGACCCTCCATCACTAATGGATTGGCTACTCGAAAGCTTTATTCAGCCATGCTGTGGGGTCCGTTTCTCTCTGGACCATTTTTCTATCAGAGCGGGGTTTGAGCGGTGGGGCTGTGTTTTTATCCTAAATGTCAGACACTTTGCGGATATCCTCTTTTTCCCACTTTAACTGCTTGAGGCAAAGTGATTTGTCCGTTGATATTGCGTGTTATTCAGAGCTGCTCCTTTATGTCTCGCCAGTTTTACTTTCCACTCACGTTTCATCCCAGGATCAGAGGCGCATTTGTGGACTGCAGGAGCTGGCTGTGCCTGCCACATTAGCACTGCCTCAAACTTACTTTGTGCTGCACGCTGTCCTGTAGTCCCGGTAAGAGGCAAGACGTGGACTTAAAAAGCAACCTTGTTGAGAAACTTGTTCCCGTTGTTAGGAGATATGCTTGGGAAGGAAAGTGCATTTTTTGGGAGATTGTGCGCCTGGTCGGCATTTCTCTTTTTAAATATTTGTGTGCGCGGTAACCCAATTTGGCGGTTCAGAAGTTTGGTGTAAAATCGACCACCCTGTCTTTTCTTTCCGACTATGCAAGTGAATTTTATTGTCTGACTTAAAGACGGCCAATAATGACCTCATTGCTCATCACTTCCGATAACAGATTAACAGCTTTTACGCACGGGTTGAGCAGCCTTGCGCACAACGTTTCGGGTGTTTTGTTCTTTCCCAATCCCAGGAAACGTTAGTGAGGCTAATTCTGCACGAGAACACTCAGAAAATATTCATGAGCTTGTCACTTGGATGAATAGCTTCTCCATTTCTCCCCGATAAAGACACTTCAGATTTGTAATAGTTTAAATTGTAAAGCTGTCCAGGAAAAAGCGCCTGAGGCTGTGGATTTCGAACAAAGAGATACCCTATTATAAAAGAAATAGGTCAATTTCATTTTGCGTAAATTTGAGTTGATTATCCTGAAATGATTTGTCAAGAGCTCCAAAGCGGACCGTGTTGTAGCAGAGCAACAGAGGGCAGTGTTGAGCGGCACTGTACAGCTGTGGCGACACCTTGCCAGGTAACGTCTGCTGTAGAGTTACAGACAATCTGCACGCACACAAGTTTGAGTTTGGTCAAATGAGCACGCAAAGAGACTTTCATGAAGTATTGCTTGATTGTTTTTTCTTTTTGTTTTAATCAGTCGATCAAATGCCAAAAGCTTACGCACAAACCTTTATCTGGAGACAGTTCACTGAGAACAGTTTTCAGAGAAATGTAGCGGCTGGAATTTTTAAGGCTTAAAATATTAAATCTTATATCCCCCCCCCCGACCAAATTAATCAAACAGCTTATTCAACTGAAAGCTATTTTCCTGCAACAGCGACTATCATCACTGGGCTCTTGGAAGCTTTTGTGGTGCTGCACTCTATTCATCTGTAGCTTTTTTAAAATGTTTTTATTGAGCCCCAGTTGTTCAGTTTCTTCAGCATTGTAAATTAATGTATTATTCATTAACACTCAAATATGCACCATGGCTGGTGTGAGTTTTGGCAAAGGTGATGATATAATCCTTTTTTAATGCAGCTTGTTTTTTTTCCCATACAACAGACAAGAAAAAAAAACATATTTAATATCCTCAATTAGCTACAATTAGTAATCCACTAAAGCCAGCTTCATAGTGGTAATTTCCCACTTCCCTTTCTGTGGAATAACAAGGAGCAACCCCATCACAATCCAGTTATAATTGATCACTTAAACTGCCGTAACAAAAGAATTTCCCAGATATGGGATGAATAAATTTGCCACATCATCTTATTTCATCTCATCTGATCACCAACCCCCCGTACCCCACATTGGCATAACTATTGCTTTTATTTTGTTCATTCATCAATATGTGTGAAACTACCATATCTCCCTCATCTTTTGATTGATATTCATCCATTTGACAGGTTTTGTTAGGCCCAGATGCTTGTCATATGGATCATTAACGCTTTTGTTATTTGGAGAGCTGTTTTTAGTATCCTGGGTCACTCCATTCAAATGGAAAGTAGGTTTTCATCTTTGATGAATTTATGAGGGCTCTTGACAGGTCCTGGTGGGGCAGAATCAGACCTGCCAAGCAGAAAGAGATCCAAAAAAACAATCCCAAACTGGATAACCTCCCTGCAACCTATCCCCCTCCAGCTATCCTCTTAGAACTACTCTACGTTCACTTTCCCCTTCTTTCTCATTTTCCATGTAGCTACAGCGTGTGGAAGTGTTTTGTTTTCCCAATGTTATCCAGGGGTCATGTATCTCCATGGCATCTAATGGCGACATAAATAATTCATTTCCATTACCAAATATGATAGGTGTGAAATAGACGAGCTGGCGGCCTTTTCATCAGATTTTTAATGATGCATATTTAGACGGGGCCAAGTGAGATATTTCTGTTGTCGGGCATCATTTGAGATGCGGTGAACAGATATGAAAGTTTAATGTCCGGAGAACTTGATCTGTCCTCTCCTCCGCCTGACGAGGATGAAACGCTCAATATGGTCTGACCATCGCAGGTGTGCGAGTGTTGCCGTGAGCACGTCTCGTCTAAAGCGATAACAGACGGATACAGATAAGAAGTGTGATTGTGTCGGGTTTGATGCCACTTTCCTCGCGCAGTTACCCTTCATATAGCTCCAGTTGTATAAAGATGGAAAAGGAGCTTGAGGGATAAAAATAACAATAACTCTTGCTGTTGACAGACTGTTTTGTCATTTCAAGGTGTAGGTTTTCACCATCCAAGAAACCAAGGTAGAGAGTGGAAACTGACAGCTTTCACAGAGCGATATCTCTGCTGTTAGTCTGTCATTCAGCTGTTTGACTTTTCATGCACGCCAAACAAGCTGTCCAGGACATCTGCTGCCACCCGTGTGAACCACACCTCACTTTATTTATGCACTCTATCATCTTATGTCTTTTTTGAACCCTGACTTGAGAGTTCCAACAAAAATAAAAACACCCCCAAAACCAAAAACCCATCTCTGCACTTTCAGGAAGGATGCCTTTATGGTTACAAAGTAATGAGTGGTTTGCAGGGGTGCACAATTCTGCCTGTTGGTCCTTATTTTGCACCCCTTTGTGTGTGTATGTGCATGTCCTTGCTATGTGGAAGTAAAGAAAAGAGATTTTTTACAGTTTTAAAGTGGCCTTCTGGAGCAGGATTCACATGGTAATCAGGTCAGGGTGCACTGAGGAAAAACAAAGCTGTCCAAAAGCAGAGAGAGGGTCCAAAAGACGTGCTGTTTTCTTTCTTTCTTTCTTCAATTTTTTTGTTAAGATATTTCAAGGAGTGTGAAGAGACACATGGAGAGATGCTGCCTTAAAGTGGCTCTGTATATTCAGAACACTGCAGCCACATTGGAGTGTCTGTTGCTCTCTGTTATGTTAATATAACGCCAGATTTGAAATAACAGCGTCAGACACTATGATTTGAGGTGGCAGCCCTCGCCTCAATACTCGCCGTGGTCTTTATACTGAGAATACAGAGCTCTGCTGCCTAGTCACCTGAATGTGATTATGTTGTCCCACAGTGCTGACATAAATGTTGCCATTTTCCATTCACACACACACAGACACACACCGAGGCTCGATTGAGGTCCCGAGCCTCATTTTATTCAAAATGAAATCATTCCTCAGCTATGTGACAACTTAGAGAAACATTCAAATTTTGGCCCAGGCTTGTTTCTTGCTTTTTTTTGTCTTTTTTTGAGGTTGATGTGAGTGTTTTGTGGCCAATTTTACTGTCAGAAACAAACTGCAGCTTGACAGATGCACTTTGCCTCACCGCCGCAGCAGCACCCTGATGAGAATCTGCATCTGATTTTTTTTTTTAGCTCAGTCTTTTGTTAATGACAGACTCGGTTTGAGGAGGAACGTGTACTTGCAATAAGCAGACAGTTTGAGCCGTCAGCAGAGGGAGGCCGAGCGGTCTGAGCTGGTGGGTGGAAATGAATAATTCCACAGTGTCTGTCTGGGTCCCCTCAGCCTCCCCAGATCTCATTGTTTCTGAATGCAGAGTGTACTTGGCGTGGCCTTCACTCACGCTGTCTGGCTGTTTGTAACCTGGCCTTTCTCTGCATTGACAGACAACCTCGTTGTCTGTGAAATCCAGTACGGCAGCAACGTCTCTGCCCCCTGTCTGCAACCCTGCTAATTAAAGCTTGATGCGACCCAACAGTCTCAATTTGTCTGCAGAACGTTATCATCATTGTTTCCTCCTCTGCTATTTACAAACAAGGAGAATAGAGATAAAAATGGAAAGCCTGTCAAGCAGGAGGGGAAACTTGATTTTTTTGAAGCTTTAAATGATTATTGGAGTTTAAAATTAGCATGCAACAGATTATTCTTTTCTTATTTTCCATATGTGAGAATTTGCTGCTTAGCTTGTTGGCTGAAACATTTAAACTTTGGTCTTGGGGAGCTAGTGATGAACAGCCTCCACATTTCCTAAGAATTTCCAGATGAAAAGGATTAATTGGTTAATAAAATTAATAATTAATTAATAATAAAAAACAATTAATAACAGGTGTGGTTTGAATAAAGGCGACTCTGTTCCTCATTTGGAGGGCAGCTTTTAAACTGGATGTGCATTCTTCCCAACATGAGAATATTCTGGGATTTCTGTCTTTTTCCACACGTTCTCATTGTTACCCCTCTTGGCCATTAGACGAGGTGTGCGAGAACGCGCGTCGTGAGCGAGCGTGCGCTCATACGCGCATGTGTGCATGTCTGAGCAATTTGATTT